CTATTCGAATGTTAGCAATAGGTTTATGAACATTTTTATATTTCATGTTATGAAGCTAATAGTTATTGTACAGTTATAATATCCACTCTTTTATCGATCATTCAGATTATCGCATCATATTGACCATAAACATTTGTATTGTTTCATTTGATCAAAACGTTGAGATCAGTCAGTTTTAGTTGTCCGGATATTTGAACAGTTGAATAGTTTTTGACTTATTTGAATTCATTTTATGAGTCTGATTTCTAACGAGATTTCAGATAATTGTTTGAGGACCGTAGTTCAGTAGCTTTCCGATCATAATCTTTGATGTAAATTTCACAATTCTTCATTCAAAAAGTGCGGCGGTATTTCACTGTTATAAACAATGCGATTTGTTTATAACAATTCGAGAGTGGTTTTATTGCTATCGTGAACGCATTTTATTACTGTTAATAATAGTATTATTATCTATATTATAATTGTTCATACAATATCGTTGTTATTATCACTGCTATTTTTCATTAGTTAATATTATTATTCCACACATTTCGCCCGTAGGCTATATGAACTGAGAGGAATTTCGAATGCAACATGAACTAAGAATTTTGATTTCGATTGCAACAATCAAAATTGTCGGATCGAATTTATTTTGATGTCACCAATACTGGATTTAATGCGTAATTTTGGTATGCATTCTTCTGAAAAATCGAATTGTTTCAGTGCTGTGCAAACAACAAAAACAATGTACATTTTTCTGTTGGTCATTTTCGTCGTTGCTTTTATCGATGGTAAAATTATTCCATCAAAAACATTCACAGATTTTCTACCGCCTCCGAAAACACCTGGACATCCTGTTATTTTAGGTGCATTTTTTACGTTTTTCTCACAATTTTCTGTTCCAGTTTCATTTCGTTGAGTGCTTTGAAGATATACGGTCAAGGAAAGGTCACGAACTTACCCCACGTTTCAAGATGAGATATACATCAATCATATTGTAGACCTATCTCGCGTTCCTTTTGTTTTCGTAGAATATTTGATAAATTCGTGATCAGCTCAAGGAGTTCTACGATATGATATGTATGTATCTCATCCTGAAACGTGGGGGTAAATTCGTAAGCTTTCCATGCGAAATGAAGAAAACACTAATAGTTCATATAAAATGTTTTCATCGTTTTGATGGGAATACTTTGAAATGATAGAATATTTTGTAAAGTTTCATCTGAATTACATCTTACCAAATGCTTAATTTACAGTGCCCGGCGATGGCGGCGCACAAATTGAGGCAAATCTAACCGGTAAACCCGAGGTGGTGCATTATTCTTGCTGGAAAACGACAAAAGATTACTTTGACCTATGGCTCAATTTGGAATCTTTTGCACCGATCGCAATCGACTGCTGGGTTGACAATATGAGGTTCGTTGCTATTGTTGAATATCATGTGATCGTCATCTTAAGGAATTGATCTTGGTTGTTGACTTATTTGGTGATATCTTTGCAATTCATTGTGATGCGTTCGAAACTACTGAAATGATGAAAATGCTTGAGAATATTCAAGAGCTAAGTGAACAAGTGAATCAAGTGAAATGCGAACTCTCGGTTGACTGCATTCGGAACATGAAAGTAGTGAAGATGCTCCTTGATGAATAGGTTGTTGTACAACGAAACGAGTGGAATGGCCATAAAAGCACCTGGCGTAGAGACGCGAATCCCGGGATTTGGTAATACTGAAACTGTGGAGTGGTTAGATCCATCGAAATCATTCATTGGCAAATATTTCGCAGACATTGTCAAATTTTTGACCAATTTCGGATATATTCGTTCGAAATCCGTTTTTGGGGCTCCGTACGATTGGAGAAAAGCACCCAGTAGGTTGCAATCTTCGTTATTTAAAAAATTCATTACATTGATGCCATTTTATTATGAATGAAGTTATTATTTTGTTATTACTATTGATGATATTATAAGTGGTATAAATGATTATTATTATCATATTATTATTATTGTAGATGAATTAACAGACTTTTATTTAATGTTGAAATCAATGATCGAAACAACTTATCGCTATAGTGATAATAAACGCATCGTCATAATCGCACATAGCATGGGAAATCCTGTAATGCTTTATTTCTATCACAACTACGTCGATCAGTTGAGTTCAACTACTTCTCATTGAATTGTTTGATTATCGTGATTCGTTTTTAAGAGTATTCTCATTACACATAAACAATTCAAAGGCTCAATGTAATGTACCAGAAAGTTTATGTTCACTGCTGATTCTATCGTATTGATTGCGTGAAATCACTAGACAAATAACACTAACGGTATGGTAAAAAACAACAAAGTTTCCATTGTTTTTACATTCGAACTGTAATTATGCTGTTTCAATGTGCTCACTATTTCAAAATGTTTCAACGCAAGTGATGCGCCGTTTTCTGATCCATACATGCGTATGAGTGATACAGTTAAGCGAAGAATGATACAGTTACAGGCGATTTTTGATAGTGTATCGTAACATTTAGGCGATGATGGATGTTTTAATGCGATGATTAATTTTCATTTGGAATTTTAGGCTTGGAAAGATAAATTCATTCATGCACACATTTCACTGGCTGGTGCTTGGGGAGGTGCTATGCAAATTGTTCGTTTATTCGCATCAGGTTTAGTTTGTAGCATTGATCATGAGAAATTCAACGAACCATTTGATGGGAATGTTGTGGTCTGATTTTATTCATTAAATCGACAATTACNACTCATTACGAGTTGAGCATTTCTCTTATCACCAATATCCTTCTTCTCACGCAGATAATAATAATACTATAGGAAATCATCTGTCTTCATGAAATGCTGACTTTGACTATTGATCTATTTGGCGATCACAGAGGTGTTGGGCCAATCTCTCGTATTGCCCAATGATTTCTAGGGAGAGGGACTCAAAAAGATCCCGAAAATACATTCCGCTTGATCGACTGAACATGCGTTCAATGATCGCTTAGTGCAGCTGTTTGCAACAAGCAACAATAGTAAATCGACAATATCAATATGACTTGATTATAATCTAAATAATAGACAAATATTTTCATATAAATTGTGCGAGAATTCGATGAGTCTTTGAATTGAGGCTATAATATGGGTCATTATCGCTTGACACTGCCACCGAGTAAAATGCGCATTATGCAACGTTCATTTACCAGTTCGGCATTCTTGTTTCCCAGCTATAACGTTTGGAATGAAACTGAGGTTTGCGAAAGTTTTGACTTCCGATTTATTGCTTTGAAACTGAAGAGCTTTTAACTTCTATCGAAATCTTTTTAAATGAACCAATGAATTCAATTGGAATCGCTGAGAATATTTTAGCCCACTCGTTGTTTATTTCATTATGTCGTCCGCAAGAAACTGTACCGATTTCAGATCATCGCCAGAACAGTCAGTGCGAATTATACAACTTCAAACATTCAACAGTTCTTTACTGATATGAACTATACAATAGGATGGACTCAGTATAAGAATTCCGCTCGTTTACTCGGTCAACTTGAAGCGCCCAATATTGAGGTCCATTTCCGAATGAGAATTTTCATTGTATCAAAAGTACAGTTTGGAAATGAAAGTGCTATTTTCTTGCAAATATTTCGTAAATTAGCATTTTTTGATACAGATCAGCAAGAGTTGCAACGATAACAGTCATCAATAGTCATGTCTTATTGCATCATGCATTCGCATCATTCATCAGAGAATGCTGAAATCCAGTGGAACGAGAATGACGAGTTATGAGCAATTCAGCACGACTGTTCTATAAAAGTTTAGATGCATTGCATTTACGGAACCGGTGTCGCAACTCCGGAAAAGTTCGAATGGGCGAAAGGATATTTTCCGGATTATCCGCCGTTAGAGATCTTCGGTGATGGTGACGGTACCGTGAATCACCGATCTTTAGATGTTTGCAGGAAATGGGTTGATAATAATGGTGGGAAAAACGTCAGTTTTCATTGTTTATCAGTATTTTCTTTTACCATCTTCAAGAAATAATGATTGTTTGAAGTTGAAGAATACTGATTCTTTGGTATCATTATGAGAGGTTAGATGTTTCATTGGTCCATTCAATCTGATTCATTGGGACTCACAACTCAACGTCCCTGACTAATCCCTTAAGAAATGCGTCATTCTGAAATTCCCATTCACCAACTCCAAAACTAACTAATTTTTCGCTAAATCAACAAATTAACAAACAAACAAACGAATAATAAGCATTCTGACTGCTGCAATTAATCATTACCAATTAAACGATAATCGACATCTTAAGGTAACGATATATCAACTGGAAAAAACGGATCACCTAGGCATTCTCGCTCACAAAGAAGCTCTGCGGATCATCCAGAGTGTCATTTACGAGTTATTTTAAACGTCAGCATTCACCGATATAATTATCACTTCAACACATACCACACCAAATGCATTAACTGAACTTCTTGACAACCTTGATTCAAATGCTCATTGTTGATCGAATGTCTGTGAAAGTAATCATCACTCCTCCACGATTTACTCATCAAATTATGTTCAGATCTGCTCATCAACCTACTCATTTTGTATTAAACTGAAATTTTGCGGTTAATAAATCAAGTGCAGTTGTTAAAAGCTATAACATCAAACGTATTTATTCATTATTATGTATATCCAACAGAATACATTTTCTTCACATCTCAATAACAAAGTTTTTCAAATTGCGAACATCATTGTAGGTGATGCTTTAACATTTATTTCCACTGATATTACTGCTCGTTTCTTCTTTACCATATCGTGATCGTCTTAATTCCATTTGCAGTTCTTTGAGACCTTTCCCAAATGATCTTTCGTCTCTTAAAGTCTCGTTGGTGAATGCCATTCCCTGAAGTTCCGTTATGCTTACAAAATATATACTTTTAATCTCAGTACGTTTCATGCTAATGGCATTGAAAGGCTTCATTATTGTACTTCTTAATAAATGTCATCATACCAAATTCTCTGTTTTGGACTCTTCCAAACAACAGAGCGTGAAGATTTAGATATTTGCTATATGCACTCTTGGTGATTATGTTTAAATCAACGATTCATTTAAACATATCCAAATTATGAGAATGCAATAGAGGAATGAATAAAGAAACACAAATCATAATCGAATAATGAGTGTGTATCTGCGATGATACCGCTGAGCATTCGTATTTCTTTCGGGATGACAATGGAACGTGGAATTTTTGCAGAAATGTAAACGATGTTCAACAATTTTACTTGCCTTCGTATCACATGGCACGGATGAACCCGATGTAGAAGTCGACTGTACCTGCATATCACATTCACATACTCTTCGTATGCTTCCTGTGGATGTCATAGCCTCTCGTCTGACTTTTATCTTTCATTTTATCGGATCTCGCCGTATTTTTTCAAGCATATTGTTTATCCGATTCGTGGCTATACGATGGTGATCTGATCGTGGTCCATCGCTTACTGAGGAAGACTCTTCTTAACGATCAGTCGTTCTTTTGATTAGTACCTCACTTATCATTAGTTCCATTCCCAAATTTCAAATTATCCTCGAAGAGGAATTATGCGTGATGACCTCGTTTTTAAGTGATTCTTTCTCTTGAACCAAAAATCTGAAAGAAAGGTGCTGCACAAGGGGTGGTAAAACAACCTTACAGTAAAACATGAAGTAAAATAATCTAGCATATATTATTCTCATCCTTTATTATCCACATTACTTTCGTCTTATTTACTAGCATATAAAATGTGCACCGACTAAAACTCGTTACTTTATTTTGTCACCACACAGAAACCAACAACGACCGATCAACTTTTGAATATTATACGTTTCTGATAACATATTCTTCTTGAATGTTGCTAACGCCCAATCAGTCAATCGCTGAACATTTCGAAACGAATTGAGCCCTTTCGTTAGCAATGAAAATCTCATTATTTATGCATTCATAAAACCTTTCTCCATATACATTCCGCAAAGAAAGGGGAACTGAATGCAATTCAATCCTCAAAAGAAACAATCGAGAAACGTTCATTTCTGAAAGCAAACCTTTGTTCAACGTTGTTCATTCAGAATAATGAATAAGATCAGTCCCTTACTACTTGAAATTCATGAGAAGAGTACCGGTCATCAACATAAATCTTACACATCCTATAAATCCTATCCTGAACTCGTCAATAACACACACGGATAATATTGTATCCTCAGTTGATAAAAACAAAACGGCATTTTGTTCGTTCACATTCGCAATTGAATATGCAGTGTAATTAGAGCACAGCAAGCAATGCTCGCTACTGTCGTTCATAAGCTATAAGTTCACAACAATGTAAATGTATGGCACACAATGATGTAAGGTTATGAATAAAACGCTAGAACAATACCTATTTGGTCAACGAAATAACTATTGGTTCATTTGGACTGGATGTGGACATATATGTTAGGCGGAATGATTTTGGGTGCTAAATAGGATGGTACAACAAATCCACGAGGTTAGATGATTAACTTCGACCACAATTCAGCAGAATGTGTGTGTCGTATTGCGCAAAGCCGCTGGACATGCTCAATAAGTTGGTAAAATAATTTTACGGGCTGGACAGGCAAACCTGAGAAACATGGTCCGGCTCCCCCCCCCC